AGAGGAAAAAAAAGGAACTGACACCAAAATCTTAAATAGAAAGCAAATGTTTAGAAAATAATGATGGCAACATATGTACACATACACTTGATGTGTGGATTGTTGTAAGACCTCTATGGGCCGCGAAGAAAATGATCTTTAAACAAGCAAACAAGCAAAAAACAACCGTAAACATGCCCAGTCTTGCATTACCTTCACAATTGTTCCTGTGCTTGAGCTCCTTGTGATGGCCTGGCATCAATCCCTCACTTTGAGAGCCTTCCTCCTCTTCACTGCCCTTCTACTTACCAAACACGATGTTTTCTCCAGTGAGGTAGTTAGTTTATTGTGCCAACCTGGCCCATAAACACATGTGGGATTAATTGAAGGGTGGAGGGATAAATGGCTTGGTGAGCCTCGCCTTTCTAGTTCTGGGGTCTCTTGCTTTGTGATGGTTGCACCAGGGTGCAGCTGCCTTAGCAGTTCCCAGCTTCAGCTTGCAAAGCTGCCTTCCTGCAAGAAATCCCCAAGGAGAAGCCACATGCACCTACCCGGATGCAGCCCTGGGTGCTGGAGCAGCCGTGTGGAGACCCCTGCCAGTGCTGAGATGCTTACACATTCACTGACTGGGAGCCTGAGAGCAGGCTGAAATGCTTGCTAGGTGACCACCTGGATCTACTTGTTGAGTGGAAGTGGGAGAAATGCAGCAATAAAGAGACGGGTTGAGTTTGGCCACTGACACCTGTGGACTTGGTTAACAAGAAGAAAAAGGGGAAGATGAGAGCAGGTTGACTGTTCTAAGGTTCATGACCTAGCCTGAGGGGGCTAGGCTTGTTGAGTTGGTGAGAGCCCATGGTCTAAGGCAAGGCGACCAATGGGCACCCTGTGGAGGCTGAGTGAGGCAGCCCACATTGAGTTGATGAGAACCCAACCAGCTGGAGATTTTTGAACCTGTGAACTGGTGCATACTGTTACTGACTTTATGGATGGCCTGTCCGGATTTGACTTTACTCATGGATGCAGATTTCACAAGGCTCCAACTGGAATGAAGACTCTTCATGTTGAAAAATATGATTGTCTTCTCAGAGAACTGGGTTGATGTAAGTGGGCAGTATATAAATTGGATAGCCAAGATTGGGGGAGATAAAGGCATGAAGCGGTTGGCTTACAACCTTTCATAGATGTGTGTGTGGGGGGATTCACGGGATTATAGGGTTAAGGTGTAGGTGTTACTTAATTGCAATT